ATACAGAGTTACTCAATCTTGTCCACTCTGATGTATGTGGACCCATTGAAGAGAAGTCACTTGGAGGAAGCAAATATTTTGTGACATTCATTGATGATGCATCACGAAAGGTATGGGCTTACTGTTTAAAGAGTAAGGATCAAGTGTTTGATCGCTTCAAATTATTCCATGCCATGGTAGAAAGAGAAATAGGGAAGAAGCTAAAGTGTCTACGTTCAGACAATGGAGGAGAGTACACTTCCCGGGAGTTCTCAGCATATTGTGCCGCATATGGAATCAGACATGAGAAGACGGTTCCACGAACTCCACAGCACAATGGTGTAGCCGAAAGAATGAATCGAACCATTGTGGAGAAAGTTCGTTGCATGCTGAGTATGGCTAAACTACCTAAGCCATTCTGGGGTGAAGCTGTGCTGACAGCTTGTTATCTTATAAACAGGTCACCTTGTGTTCCTTTAAACTTTGAAGTGCCAGAGAAGAAATGGTCAAGAAGAGATGTTTGTTACTCTCACTTGAAAGTGTTTGGGTGCAAGACACTTGCACATGTGTCCAAGGAGTTGAGACAGAAGCTTGATCTCAAGTCAAACCAATGCATCTTCATCGGCTATGGTGATTAAGAATTCGGATACCGATTATGGGATCCCGAAGTGAAGAAAGTTGTATGAAGCAGAGATGTTGTATTTCATGAAAACGAGTTTCATGGGTGTGCTCCAATAATCCACCAACAACATACTCCAGAAGACGAAGTGCATGTATCATCAAACATTCCTCTCAGCGACGAGGAGATGCATGATACTACTGAACAAGAGAGTGCTAGTTCAGTAGGTGATGATGATGCTCACAGTGATGATATTCCTCAGTAGGGGGAGCCTTCATCTGAAGACGAAGGTGAAGGTACTCATGTTCGATGTTCTCTGCGACGCATAGTTCCACAGAGAAAGTACTCCACATCCGAATGGATACTTGTTGCCAGCGAGGGGGAGCCAGCGAGCATCGCAGGAATGAGAGAAATAAAGAAAAAGGTGGAGGGGGAGATTTGTAGAGATATTCCACCTTCTTTCTTGGAAGTTGCCAAGAGACACCTTAACATGGAGGCACCTTCTTGGAAAGGGTTCTCCAACAAATAGGTGTGGGAGAAGATATGGAGAAAACTAGGAAGCTTGGATGCAACTTCCTCATGTCTCCAAACCAGCCCTATAAATAGAGTGCTCCATTATTGTTCATAGCATCAGTTTAGAAAGTGAGAAAAGTGTGTGAAGAGTGAAATACACTTATAGTAGAAGTGTATTGGTGGGGATTGATTTTTTGTAATAGTTGAGTGTGAGAGTTTGCTCCTCCTATTATAATTCTGTTCTTGATATTGAATAAAAAAAATCCAATCCCAACAGGTGGTAGTATGATGCTTGTGTACAACTAAAGTTTTTTTTTACTTTAACCATTAATTATTAAATCCAACTTTCTGTCTTTTAAAATATTTTAAAAATGTCATGTAATTTTATATAACCATGGTTACACACTTATAACTCTATATGTAACAGAGGTGAAAGCTAAGTAGTGCTAAGTTGGAAAACCAAACCGGTAGCAATGATGTGAATGAAAGGTGAACTGGTGAAGACCAAGTCCACAACTAAAAATCATACAAATTTTTTGGTCAACTGAAAATCAGACATTGAATATGCACTAAAACAGGAGAATAAGAAGCCAAATTATTAGTTGATATTTTCAGAAAACCAATGTCTCCAATATATGCACTTTCATTGGCAATATCCAAATCTTTTCAGTACAGGACACAAAACTCAAATAGGACTATCATATCCAACGATATCTCTGGAGAAATTATCCAACTAAGAGCTAGCCCAGTGTTTTGACTGTGCTAATCCATCAGTCTATAGTCTATATCATAATGTTTCTTGTAGCCCTGAATTTATCAATGAAAATCCCATGTTATGAAGCCCAAGCCTACTTCATTTATATATATATATATATATATATATATATATATATATATATATATATATATATATATATATTCAACAACAGCCCTAAATTTTATCAATGAAAAACCCAAGGTATGATGCCCGTGTTATGAAGCCCAAACCTGCTTCATTTATATATATTCAAATAAAGTCCTAAATTTTATCAATGAAAAACTCAAGTTATGATGCCCACGTTATGAAGCCCGAGCCTTCTTTATTTACATACTAGTGTAAAGCCCGGGGCAATGCCCCGGCGGCACGTCAATGCCCCGGCGGCACGTCAATGCCCCGGCGGCACGTCAATTTAATATGACTTAAAATAAAAAACACTATTAAAAGCATTCATTGTGAATGATTTATATGATCTAAAAGTGAATATAATAAATTTTTATTATAAACTAACCACAACCAATTATATATTTGTATTTTTTGGAAGTATTCATATTTGGAATGATTGTTAAGTTATCCATCATCATATATTATATATTTGCACTTTAGTCCATATCAAAGTTTCCGCTATTAAGGCTGTTGCGATGTGTATTGCTGCTAATGCGGCCTGATGCTTGCTGCTAATGCGGCCTGATGCGACCCAATTAATGCTTTCCTGTTGCGACCACATTGCAGATTTTTCCTGTAAATAAAAAATTTCTCCGACATTACGGCACAATGTAGTTGCGCTGCAGACCACAACAGTACTATTGCAGCCGCGATACGTGTTCCGATCCCCAATTTAGAATTATGGCTATATTTGTTTTCAATCAAGTTTTGTTACTTTCTACGGGAGTGTTTGCAATAGCTTAAAAAGCTCTTCTCGGCTTTTGGCTTAAAAAGCTAAAATTAATGTTTTCAAGTGACAACTTCTATTTAAAAAAGCACTTCTCGGCTTTTGGGTGAAAAATGATTTTTATTTTTTTATATTAGACAGAAAGTACTTATTTTACCAAATACTACCAATTTTTACTTTTCAAAATCACTTTTTTCTTAAACACTATCAATTTTTACTACTAATCACTTTTTCATCACTTCAAAAAAGTGTTTCTTTTAAGCAAAAACATTTGCAAACGTCTTTTTTAGTACGGAGTATTAAATGTGATAAATATCTATGTGCACATGTTTTAATTTATAATTAAAGTATTAAACGTCTTTGTTGAGGTTTTGTCCCGTAGATCCGAAAGCCCAACATCAACTTTGGATAGTAGGGACGATCCATTCGGTATATAAAAGTCAATAAAATATATAAAAGTGTATGAACTAGCTATTTTTACGTGGAAACCCGGAAAGGGAGAAAACCACGAGACTTTTTAGGCTAATGTCCAAGCTCACTCTTTCTCATTCATATCCTCCCATCACTCAATTACATTGTACAAATATCTTATCTCCATTAATGGAGTTTGTTGCTAGCTCTAAAGAAGAAGATAAAGCATGGAGGAAGGGGAAGAAATCTCCCATGAGAGAAGAGCCCAAGGTCCAAAACAGGATCCCTTTCCCTGGAAGCCCCTCCTTCCTATTTATAGAAAAGGGAGGGTGTAAGGATTTTCAAATGGGCCAATGGGCCTGAATGGGCCGGTTGGGCCTGGATAGGCCTAAATGATCCTTGCTAATTGGGCCCCGTACCGGGGCGGTTTATTGGGCCTCTAAACAGTGGTAGGCCGGGGTAACATACCCCAACAGTCTTTTGTACATATGTTTTTATAGTTAAACGTCTTTTTTATCCCGTACATATGTTTTAATTTTATAATTAATTTTTTTGATTAAAATTGTACATGTGTGGAAATCAAGATTAATAATAAAAACAAAAACAAAATGAAAAGTGATTAAATTTTTTGATTAAATTTGTACATTCTGGTTGTACACTACTTTTTCTTCCGTTCTTCGCTCCTATTTTCTCTAAACGTTTTTCACCCGCTATTTTTCTCCTATTTTTTCTCATATACGTTTTCTAAATAAATGTTATAATTAATGTCTTAATTAAATTTTTTCTTAACCAATAAGAGAAAGACACATCAGCCGTTTATAACTGAGTTTTACTATATAAAACAATAGATAAACATTGAGTTCTTGCATTAAAATTTATGCTTATGTAGACTCCCCCCACCCCCCGCAGAATACCAACAAAACTAGTGGATAAGAGTTGAGAAACTCTCACTGAGGTTTATCATTACAATTACAAATGAAAATATACACAAGCTAGTTAAGATAGAAGAGAGAAAACAGTTCATACAACAAGTCACCGTCACTCATATGAGAGCTTATGGGTTTGAAACTCCATGAAAACCATTTCAGTCTTATTTACTCCAAGTCCCCCATCTCCGACCCCTGACCCCCCTTGGGATGAGAAAAAATTAAGGTAGAAAATTAATGAGAACTACTTTCATTTTTTCATAAAAAAGTTAATAGAATATAATTTAATTTCTTTGTCATGATTCATTATATTCAGCTAATTCAATTGTTTCATCCATTATTTTACAAATTTTAATAAATTCAACCGATTCAGCATTAACAGACGGGCTTTGGAAGCCCGGAACGTGGGTTTATTTCTATTGGCTTAGCCTGCCAATGATGGATAGAATTGTGAAATAATGGAACATGTTGCCCTATTAGGGTCCTGGGAGATGAATTTATATTAATAAGAGAATAATGTCAAAATACAAAAATATCCCTACGGTATATATTATTAAGAATGAGCTTACCAGAGATTTTCTCCAAGTAAATTATACGGACTACAATTTAACGAAACTGAGCAATAAATTTGAAATTTTTAATGACAAAAACCTTTCAATAAAAAATAAAAATAAAAAAACAGACTAAAAGATCGGGCGTTGTAAAATAAGGAGTGGTTTGGCCTTTGGACTTTGGACTTTGGAGGGGCTAAAACATGAAGGGTCGTCTTGAAACTAAGCTTGACAAGTGTAATGATGTGTGGCCCAGTACGTAAACATCAACTCCTAAAGTTGGACAGCTAGTACTCCTTCCTTTTGTCACTATACTGCTATCAATTCGTTAATTGATCATCACCAGGTGTACATTTTATGCGACACATAAGTAGCCACACATAAACCTTGCCTTCCTAATCTCAAGTCCTCACAAAACTTGTAATAATAATAAGAATAAGATGATGAAAATGGGGGCGATAGAACAGGAGAAAGTGCACCCTGCTGCAACTTGTCATGGTAAGAAGGGCAAAGACGTGATCAACGTGAACAAAAGACGGTTCAACGATACACAAATCGAGTCGCTGGAGAAGATGTTCGAGGCGAAGGCGAGGCCAGAGCTTGTGGCAAAGCAGGAGCTGGCTGAGAATCTCGGACTCCAGCCTCGCCAGGTCGCCATATGGTTCCAGAACAAGAGGGCTAGATCCAAGTCAAAGCAGATGGAGCATGACTACATGCTTCTCAAGATGAGTTATGATCATCTCCAAACCCAGTTTCAAACGTTGAAGAAAGAACACCATGCCCTTCTCATCCAGGTACAGACAGGCAGACAGCCAGAGGGATGGACCTCTTCCGGTTCCAGACTGGCCGATTCTGGCTCACATAGAGAGCGGAACCCAAAGTGGGTATACCCGGTGTGGTACCAGATCTGGTTCTATGATTAATTTTAGACCGGGGTTGTAGCCTTTTCCGTGTAAAATCGGAACAGGTCTGGTACTATTATGGAGGAACTGGAATCGGATTGGACCGGTTTCCGGATCAAGTCTTGAACCAGGAAACGTGTCTAGTCTCCCGGCAAAACCCGGCCAGCCATGGTCTGATCCAGTTCCAGGAGTCAGGACTGGATCCACCCTAGATACATAACCTCTAAAGGTGAAAAATATTTATTTATAACCGTCAAATGATCATCTATTCTTCTTGACAGTTACAGAGTCTTAGGGAACAGACTGAAGAAAATTGCGGAAATGAGACTGATAATGATGACAGAACAAATGCATTAGCAAAAAAGGAAAAGCCAAACCTCACTTTACAACAATCTTGCACCCCAGCAGAATTTCTTCTACCTATGTGCAGTGGTGGAGGCGTAGACCAGCCAATACACGTAAAAGATACACAAGGTGGTTCCTTCTCATCTATGGAGAAGGGTGGGTTTGAGATAGATGAGTTTTTTTACGATTCTTGTAGTCATTATAATACTTCACAGTGGTGGGAGTTATAGGATACATCATACATCTTTTGCTCAGACAGATTTAGCTCTTTCTGGGTATATACATACAGCAGCAATTTCTTATGGCAGCTAAATCAACAGAGTTCAAACTATATTATGGCACACACTTTCCGCCCAGTAAAATGCACAAGAGAACACTTCAAAGTTTAATCATAATGAAGACAATACAACAATGTCAATGCACATATACACTAACTAACAAGGATCTGTCCTGTTTTTTTGGCATAATAGTCTTACAATCCAAACATGATTCCCTAGAACATCCGGAATGAACTTACCCAAGCTGTTTCATCATGCTGTCCAACTTTTAAATGATCCAAACATGTGGGATGAGAGACCAAGCAAATCGCAAGTCAAAGCCTATGCACATAAAGGCATATAAAGTTACACAAAGTGCTTAATACTTAAGAATAAACTGTAGTTGCTTACTACATATTCCTAGGGCCTCATTCCAAATGTCCGAGGGTTCAAATGAAGACGAGGTGTATAATACCAGAGTAAGTCAAACCTTGGGGCTTTAAATTTCTGGCTTCACCTTGACATCACCATTTGCTAATGCATTTTGCGCTTGAGCCAACTGTTTTGCTTCCTGTTTTGGATGTAAAGGATCACTTTTTGTAATAGCAATTATACAGACGCGGATTTGAAACAAGGATAAATAAATGTGTCTGTTAATATCAAGAAACCCAATACATACACCAACTACATAAACCTAGTGATACTTGTAACATGTGAAGATCTGAAAGAGTGCATTTTTAAAAATAGACTATAAACACAACCGTATGTAATCAAAGTATCAAAGTATTTATCTGGTTGGCCAACAATGAGAAGTTCTAGCCTAACTTAATCATATGAATCAGTAACCTGGAGTTCAATAAATAAGTAGATTATTTACAACCCATAATCATAAAATGTACTACCTCCGTTCCACTAACATTGGGACAAGAGAAGGTGGCACGATTATTAAGAAAAGTGGGTTTATGTAGTTGATATTGAAATGATAAAGTAAGAGTAAAGTAAGAATGATTTAGAATCACACAAACTTTACCAAATTTGGAATGAGACAACCTTAGTGGGATTTCCCATAAAGGTAAAACGGGACAATCTTAGCGGGACAGAGGGAGTAATAATCATAAAATATAATTCAAGACCAAGTGAACACAAAAAATATATACTCCCACCATCCCAGCTTAAGGTTCTCACGTTCCTTTTTGGACGTCCCAACTAAAGGTTCTTATTTCTATATTACGAAATAATTAAAACTCCTAAACACCAACTTGATCATATAATATTAAAAATAATACACTTATGACATCACAATTATCAATGACTACATTATTTTATATACTCATTAAAATTACTTTCCAAGATGTACTTGAATTACCTAGTTTAATTATTGTCTAAATAATTGTGTCAATTTTCAATGGGAATCATAACCTGGGTTGGAGGTAGTACACAAATGTGTATATGCAGCCAAGTCTAATATGAAAATTGTTCCGAATTGGTTATCATATTAGCCTTTATATTAGTACAAAGTACAAACATAACCAAAAATACTATGTAGTATTAGTCTACAGTCTACTACACTGCTGATGTCGGTGTCTTAATCCCCGCTATGCTGGGGTTGGAGGCATGAAATTTAGCCTCAATATTTATAACGTGAAAAATGAGATAGGCTCCATATGCTGCAAGCCAAAAATGGAAACACAATAAGGAGCAAGTTAGATTTATTGAAACAAAAAATCCTGGCACTACTTGTTCACAATTATCCTCCTCGGAAGGAATCCCTCAGAATTCAGGAATAGGGCAATTTTGTTTTGTTTTGACATGATGCAGGCAATGCTAGATCTCCTGCATCAAGAGATTCTATGTAGATAACATGGAAGCATGTATCTATAATAGTTAAGGGAGAAGCCTCAACTGAAATGCCAGAAGCACAAATCATACTATGATACTAGTACTCAAAGAATTGAGACTAGAGCTTAACAGTGGAATGCATCCACAATAACCTTTATAAAGTATGCCGAATCCAACAACTATATCCAACAACTATGCATGTATGATTTAGTTATGCTTCCATTTCTACTCATTCACTGGAAAAAATAAATGCAGGTCTTTTTGCAATAAATGTGATATTATATTATTTAATGACTGTATAACTTTCAATGGTATCTTGATCCTTGCATCCCTACTAAGCTCATAACTCTCCATATTTCTCAGCGCATAACTCTCTCTTATCTATCTTATTCATTCCCAATCCCTCAATCTCTTCTTCCTATCCACCAAGTCACCAACAACCATTTCTTTGACTACCTCCCTCCCTCCCTCTCTCTCTCCCAAAAAGATGATAACTTGAGCCTACTGTTAGCAATTTTTATCTCCTCAAGCACATGTTCCTCTTCTTATGCCACCACCTTTTGGTGTAGCCACATTTGGGTCTCCATTCAAATGAAATTTTGTAGGGGCTGATTGTTAATTTTCATTCGAATAGGGAGTGAAGAGATGCTTTATGCGGATGATGAAATGATGGATTGAGGAGCTTAGAGCCACATTGGTATAGCTTAAAGATCATATATTGTAAATCATGCAGACAGACATGTGAATCCATCCATATCCTAGCCAGGGAGGGGTTATCGGCCACATAGGATCCAAACACAATGGGAAAACATGTAGCTTTGGATTAATGAGCACAGAGATTGTGATGTGTCACGTCAAGCTTCTCATCGAACAATAAACAGCAGAGTAGTTTACCAGCAACCTGTTCTTTGAATTTGGTTGCCTTGTTCGATATGTTTGGTACGTTACATAAGAAACGGGACAAAAGAGAGGATTGTTGCATACTTAGAGGGGCTAGGTAAGTGCAAACTCAAGGCTCACTAAAGATCTAGTGCATTAAATACCTACTTGAGGCAAGCAAAATTGAGTAGATTAGACAGTAGCCTACATGGTTTATAGCAACTCCTAAAACAGAGAAACTTACTGCAGCAGAAGTTGCACGCATCGTCCTATAAGCTTCCACTTCATCAGGGAATGCCTCTTCAAGTTCATCCAAGAGATGCTTTCTTAAACCCTGTGGCAAAAATAAATACCGTGTTCATTTAATTGAACAAGCCAATAGAAAAAAAATACACTCCATAGTCCATTTTTTTTCCATAGTCCATGTTTTGTTATGCATTCGTTTATTAAGATTATCTTTACTAAGCAAAAATTATATAGTAGACACTCCACAACTTAAATATAGATACAGATAGAGTGCAGTTGTAAGTAAATTAATTATGGTGGTGAACCAGATTAGTTGTGAAGAAAAAGCCAGAAAAAACAGAAGGATGTAATTTTAATGTTCTAGGGATACCAGGCTTTTGCCTTGCTATCAGACATTGAGAACAGCTGAGGCATCTCAGGAATACGTTGTAATTACGCTTATGTACGTAAAAAAAACATATGGAATGCAAATAAAAGTAAAGCAAACCTTGAAAGCATCTGTTTTTCCTTTGGTAATCTGGTTTTTGGCGATGCAACTATTCAATACATCCCTAGTGAACTCATCTGGATTCCTCCCATTGTCAATTAAACTACATAGCAATAACCAGATGAAAACAGCAAGATGAGATAATTCCAGAGTAGATTTTAGAAGAAAATAAACATGAAAGGGTACCACAACTTACTCTAAAACTTCCATAGGCACCTGAATATCACATTTCTCTGCCAATTTCGTCATATTATCAAGCTCCAAAACAAGAGCATTCCTGGGTGAGTTCAAATTATAAATGAATAAAGAAGCTGAAATAAACCCTAGATTAGAAAGATTTAAAAGGTGAGTCTTTGGTACACACATGCGCTGGAGAAAGGGAAGCTGGGAGGCAACATTGAAGGAGGAAACAGTAAGATAGAGCTGGTGGAGCATCCCGAGGGTTTTCTGTATGGAATTGATGACTTGATTAAGGTTCTGTTTGGAATCGTCCGCCGGTGAGCCGGTGGTGGCGGACGCAGATGAGTCCGCCGGTGAGGCGACATTGGACATGGAGAGCACGGTGCCGTTGCCACCGGCACCGCCGATTGCCGCAGCATTCTGAGAGTAGTTCATGACTAATCAGCTGGAAGTGTTTTGAATACTGATTCTTAGTTCCGGTCGAATTACATGTGACTTTGTAATCCTTTTAACTAGCAAAAAAAATGTTTTGATCATCAATACTTGTTCCAAATTTTAACCTAACCATATTTCAGAGTGAAGAAATTTGCCCACCTGTGCAATAATACTTGAAGAATCAAAGAAGATGCGGAAGTAACTGCGAGCAGATATGCCCAAACAGCGTCTGTGCGCAAGGCAACACAGATATATCGGTGGTAATCGGTAAAGATAACGAAACTTGTTCTCAATTGTTAATCGGAAACTTCTGAACAGAATATGGAATAGCACAACTTTTAGAATTTAATCGAGGGAAAAGGGGCACATCTAAGTCCTTAAAGTTTATTTTGGAGCAAAAAACTCCATTTTCCATTAAAAGAGGGCATCTTACCCCCTCTCTAACGGCGTAATGGTGATGAACATACGGAGTACTTCAAGACTTTGGTTGAGAATTGGGGTAAAAGCAAATACCCCCACAATTTTCTCTAGCTAAAAAGTCTATATTTTTTGTGAGCAAAAAATACTTAAATAAACATGTGGCAAATTAGGGCATCCACATCCATGGATTATTTTTGGAATCATTTTGATGACGTGGAAGTTTTTTTTGGGATCATGGATGAGGAGTTGAGATTATTTTATGAGATTATTTGATAAAATAATTTGGTATCAAATTCTAAAGCTGGATTATTTTGAGATTATTTCTAACTTCTAGGCATATACTCATAATTATGGTAATGACTAGCTTTGTAGTTCGTGCATGCTCATGCTCCTATCCAAGGTAAATTAAGATCATGAATGAGAAGAAATTTATTGATTTGTAGATTATTTGAGACTATCTTATGTGGAGGTGACATGGTAATACTAAGTCATGAAAAACCGTAAAGTTGAAGATCATGAATGTGGATGCTCTTAACTAACTAAATGTTGAACTATGGAGTTAATATGTTTTAATTGGATTGCATTTTTTTTACCTGATGTAATTTGGTCTAATCAATTTTTGTCTGGTCTGGTCTGATCTGTTTTAAAAGTTTTTACTTAGACTTATTTCAGTCTTAGACAAGATCAGACCTGAACAAACCTGACTAGACAAAAACAGACTAAACCTCGAAAAATTATAAAAAAAACTCATAAATCAGAAATGTATCGAACAAGACAAAACTAGACCAATTCAGACCAGGTTAAATTAGATTAGATCAAACCATAAAGTTTCAATTCAAAAAAAAAAACTCTTCATCTCATTTACTATGAAATGTTATTAATATTATTTATATATTATAATCCGTATATAATTTATTGTGGGGAGAAATGGATATATAGCCTTTTAAATTAGCATACATAAAGTTAATAGAACTCATTTATATTTTATAAAACATATAACACTTTTATATGGAATTTGCATATGGAAGACCAATGAACAATGGATAGAGACACAATGATGCTGAAACAAAACATATATTCTAACTTAATAGTAGTTATGAAAAAACTATTCGTTTTATTTTGGATAATACATATCATTAACATAAACGTACGTATTTAAACTTGTATATATACCCAATTTACTCTTTATTGTATCATTTATTATTAAAAATAATAAAATTCCTCCCAAATTATTATAGAGTATATCTTCTCGACTTATATACATTTTTAATGTGTATATTATAAAGATTAAAAGTATGTAAAAACTATTGTATCTTCTTAATAATAAATAATTAAAATTAATTATAAAACAATTATGAAGATATACATATTGAGAATAACATAAAACTTTTATAAAGTTAATAAAAGAAAATTTAATTTTAATTAAACTTGAATATGTAAAGTAAAAGATTATAAATTAGTTTACATTGACAAGAGAATAAAAGACATGAACTTTTAAGTGAGATAGAGGTACAAGTAATACTACGTATAAAATAAAATTTTAGACCAGACCAGCTCCAGACTAAAATTGATTAGATCAACTAGATTAGATAAAAAAAGTTCAGTGCAATTAAAAAAATCCCTAAATCTATAATTCGACATATCGGCTAGTAAATTTGCCACATGTTTATTTAGGACATTTGCTCACAAAGAAGAAATATGAGTTGGGATGTGCTTTGTGACGGTTTTGGGGTCCCCCTTACCTCTAATCTGATTTGGCCTGGTCTGAATTGGTCTACTTTTGTCATGGTCTCAATTTATCCCACAAATTCATTCAAATAAGTAATAAGGAGTAATAGAAAATAGAAATCTATGAAATGTTTGAGAACACAATTATTTGCATAGATTTCACAGAAATCTAAACCGAGGACACGTAAACTCTGACGATATTTAACCTCTGTTAAAAATCCTCCTTGATTCATATTAGGGACAGCCCTAATAATGGGCTGCAAAGTTAGGCCATTAGAGTTTCTCAGGCTCCCTCTATAGAATCGAACTCTAATTCTCCGTCACCCGTCACCACCATGGTAGACCACTATCCTATCATCGAAAATTGATAGGGCAGAAATTTGAATCCTGGGTTGTCGGCACCATGATCATGCGATCCGTCAAGGGATCATGAATCATCGCAGCAACAGGCAAGAGCCTGCGTCGACCTTATATCTAATAAAAGGTACTCCTAATAAAGTAAGTTGATAAAGTTTTTTAGTCTAATAAAAAGAAAAAGATGGCAAAATCAATGGATTGAGAAGAGTAAAAAAATGTCTTAAATAGAAGTAACTAATTCTCAAATAGAATTACTATATGTTTATTTCTTAAATAGGAGTAATAACTGTCATGCTTTGACATTATCGGGATATAAACATAGCAGTATCTTCCGAGTTTAATAATAATTACTCCTATTTAGAAAATAAAAACATAGCGCTCCTACATCTCAATGAATCCTTGAAACCTCAGAAGCTCTAATACTTAGGGGTGGGGAAAAATACCGAAATTTTGGTATATCGGACTTACCATACCGAAAAATACCGAATTTACCGAAGTGTTTGGTATACCGACACTTTTGGTACGGTATGATACCGTACCGAATTACTTCGGTATGGTATCGGTATATATTTTGGAAATAAACGGTATACCGTTATACCGTCATACCGTTATTCCAAGCCAATAATTTATTTAAAATTATAAAAATAACTAGAAACACAACATTAATTCAAGGATAATGACTTTATATCCATGTTTCTTGAATTATTTATACTTTTTGTTGAAGATCGATGTTTGTTGAGTTTAATCCAACACGATATAGTAAATATGTGTATAAATGTGTATGAACAACTCAGTTTTTACGTGGAAACCCGAAAGGGAGAAAACCACGGGACTTTTTAGGCTAATGTCCAAGCCCTCTCTTTCTTATTAGGACTCTCCTCACAATTACATTGTACAAGCTCCCATTAATGGAGTATTGAGCTAAGTCTAAAAGAATGAGGGAGGTGAAGCTAAAAAGGATCCTTAAACATGGAGGGAAGCCTCATATTTATAGGGGAAAGGGGAAGGGTGCCCTCCACCCTAATGGGCCAACGGGCCAATGCCGGGCCTAATGACCAAAGTGGGCCAGAATGGGCCGAAATGGACCTAGCTGCTCGGGCTCCGTACTGGATAATGTCTTGGGCTCCTGAACAGTAATAGGCCGGGATAATATATCCCAACACAAGTCCCCCAGTTTCTTGAGTAGTGAGCGTGCGAATCTGCTCGAGAAAATATACTCTTGCCTGCGCTTTACCTCGGTCTAGCTGGAACCTGTGTCTTCGAATAATCATAATATATGAGTGGATGTCCACACTCCTGAACGTAATCTGCCGGTGGGGCACCCCCGTTCCCGACGGGGTTGGGCGAAGGGTGCTCCTCCACGGGCACGCTCCCCCTGAATGCATCAGGCGAGAGTAAAGGACCCTGACTCGAGCTTTCCAACGGAGAAGCTTAGAGGTCCATGCATCTATAAACCGACGTCGCGGTACTGTCAAAACATGATGCACGTGTGTATGTATGAATGTATGAGGTATGATGCATGAATGCATGTAATGTATGGTGCAATGTATGAAAGAGGGAATGCAAGATGTGATAGGAGCGGTAGCTCTCAATGAGAACTCGAGCATGGCAGCGCCGAGAGGCAGACGTGCTGCATAAGAGACGTTCGTCGCCATCCTGAAAGGGATGGGCGACCCTAACGTGAGCCAGACACGATGGCGCTGGGGCGCTGATCGTGCTGCATAAGAGACGTTCGTCGCCGTCCTGAAAGGGATGGGCGACCCTAACGTGAGCCAGACACGATGGCGCTGGGGCGCTGATCGTGCTGCATAAGAGACGTTCGTCGCCATCCTGAAAGGGATGGGCGACCCTAACGTGAGCTAGACACGATGGCGCTGGGGCGCTGATCGTGCTGCATAAGAGACGTTCGTCGCCATCCTGAAAGGGATGGGCGACCCTAACGTGAGCCAGACACGATGGCGCTGGGGCGCTGATCGTGCTGCATAAGAGACGTTCGTCGCCGTCCTGAAAGGGATGGGCGGCCCTAACGTGAGCCAGACACGATGGCGCTGGGGCGCTGATCGTGCTGCATAAGAGACGTTCGTCGCCATCCTGAAAGGGATGGGCGACCCTAACGTGAGCTAGACACGATGGCGCTGAAGCGCTGATCGTGCTGTATAAGAGACGTTCGTCGCCGTCCTGAAAGGGATGGGCGACCCGAACGTGAAAGAGACACGATGGCGCTGAGAAGCCGATCGTGCTGCATAAGACAGTCGTCGCCATCCCGGAGGGAATGGGCGAGCCGAACCGTGAAGCCAGGTACGATGGCGCTGAGGGGGCCGATCGCACTGCATAGGACGTTCGTCGCCATCCTGGAGGGAATGAGGCGATCCGAACGTGAAAGAGACACGATGGCGCTGAGAAGCCGATCGTGCTGCATAAGACGGTCGTCGCCATCCTGGAGGGAATGGGCGAGCCGAACCGTGAAGCCAGGTACGATGGCGCTGAGGGGCCGATCGCCCTGCATAGGACGTTCGTCGCCATCCTGGAGGGAATGGGGCGATCCGAACGTGAAAGAGACACGATGGCGCTGAGAAGCCGATCGTGCTGCATAAGACGGTCGTCGCCATCCTGGAGGGAATGGGCGAGCCGAACCGTGAAGCCAGGTACGATGGCGCTGAGGGGCCGATCGCCCTGCATAGGACGTTCGTCGCCATCCTGGAGGGAATGGGGCGATCCGAACGTGAAAGAGACACGATGGCGCTGAGACGCTGATCATGCTGCATAAGAGACGTTCGTCGCCATCCTGAAAGGGATGGGCGACCCCAACGTGAAAGAGACACGATGGCGCTGAGAAGCCGAGCGTGCTGCATAAGACGGTCGTCGCCATCCTGGAGGGAATGGGCGAGCCGAACCGTGAAGCCAGGTACGATGGCGCTGAGGGGCCGATCGCACTGCATAAGACGTTCGTCGCCATCCTGGAGGGAATGGGGCGATCCGAA